AGAGGCAGTTGTACGAGGATGTGATGCTTGGAGTTGCCATGGCAGCAGTCAGCTCGTAATTAGGAAAGGCCAGGGGAATCAGAAATGCCAACCCAGGCGCCTGCCTTCTTTTCTGTGAAATGAGACATCTGTGTCACATAAGCTGTCAATTGTTGGGCCACGTGCCCTTGCAGCTCAAGTTATTCTTAACTGACACAGGAAATATGGAGTACAAGGTCCTCGGTGGCCTAGGAGCTCTGCGGATCTATGACACTACACATGGGAGCCGCAGTGCAGGCATTAAAGGGCTGGTGTGGGCGTGAGGAAGTACAGGCAGGGGCCGGACCAGAGAGGCTTGTGAGTGGTAAAGAATAGGGTGACATGGAATCGGCAGGGGTACATGAAGATTTCTTCTATGCCACTGCTGCTATCTCAGCTCTGACATTAGACTGAGGAGGGACATAAATCCTTTATTGAAATTTCGATGTTCAAGCACATAGTAGGTGTTTAGCAAACGGTCATCATTATTGGTATTCCATGAAGTCAGTCTTGCAGACTTGCCCCAGCTGTTTGTCCCCTGGAGGCGGTAGAGTGTCATCAATGGAAAGAACTGGCCTTGGAGTCAGGCTGAATTCCCGAGTCTCAGGTTCCTACCTGTAAATGGAGACACGAATACCTACCTCACAGGATCGGCCTGAGCACGAGAAGATGCATGGAAGGTGCTGGTGTGCAGGAGGCACTGGAATAACTGGAGAGCTCTGTGGTGGGCCTGACAGGTTGCCTTCCAAACATCACTTCTTCCTCCTTCCTAACAGAACTCCACTGTGGTCCAGGCACCTCCTCCTCCCAGACGAGGAAACCCAGGCTCAGAGAGCTCAACGGGCACTTCCGAGGTCTCACAACCTAACAAGTAGCGGGTCTTGCAACCGGGTCTTTCGAACCAGGTCTTCAGACTCCCAGCCCACTGTTCTTTCGAATACCTCTTGTTTTGGGAGGCATTCGCACATTTATCTAACACAACAAGGTACCTGGCATTCAGAGTTTCTAACTTAGAGCCTGTTTCTCCCCAAGAGCAAGAGGCAGAAGTCACATGGCTTCTATGACCTAGTAGACTCAGAAGCGACATACCCTCTCTTCTGTCATAATCTGTTCGTCATGCAGACCAACCCTGACAGAATGCAGAAGGGACCACTCCAGGCTGTGAGTCCTGGGAGGTGAGGATCGCTGAAGACTTTCTTGGAAGCTGGCACCACACGCATCTTAACATTTTTATGAAAATAGTTTTGACTTTACAAGTCTCCTGAAAGGGTCCGAGGACTGCAGGGGTCCACAGACCACACTTTGAGATCCATGGACCTTGATACTTCCAGCTCTCGCTAAAATTTTAGCTACATGATTTATGCTACTGCTCGGAAGACGATTCTCAGATCCACCTCTCTTTTGCAGATTCATATCAGTTTGTCAGATCTCGCTTGAAAACAAGTTTTCCAGAGAGATTCAATCTAGGTAGCATTTTGCTTCTGCTGATGGCTGAGTGAAGGGAAGAGTCGTTTATCTTCCAGGACAGACATCATAAACTAAAGCGTCACACAGTCATTCATAATCTCATCACGGCCTTTTGCATCTATGGTTTCATCTTAAATATTTTTGAATATTCTCAATCTGAACCACCTTCTTGGCTAATCCATGCAATAAATTACCTGCATCAAGTAGCAACTTAACAGGAAGGCCTTTAGCCTTGTCTGGAGTCAGAGAACTGGTGGGAGCTGCTGCCAGGCTGCCTGTGCTGCATTCAGTAGGTGAAGGTGCAGCCAGACAAGACCAGCAACCCCAAGGATAAGACAAATACCAACAGAAACTTTGTCTCTGGATTCGTTCCTGCCCAAGGCTAGCTCCAACTCCCTCCTTCCCAGTGATGTCACTCAAGAAGGATCCGTGGTATTAGGTTTCTACCACTCTTCATTGAAAAGAACCCGCATACAATGGACTCTTCGGCCTCAAATTACATTGTGAGAGATCTGAGACCTGAAGGAGCACGTGTGGAGAGACAATAACAGAGGGCTGAGAACTCAGCGAAGATAGAAAGAGGACTGAGAAGGGGCCATCAGAGAAAAGGCAGGCGAACCAAGGGAAATTTCCTAGAAGCGGGTAATGAGCTAGTTTAATGGTGGGGAGACAGATACTCCCGTGGTCTTGGCCGTACAATAAATCGGCATTTCTGGGGAAGGCAATTTGGCAGGATCTCAAGATTTGAAATGTTCCTGCTCTTTGAGCCAATAACTGTACTCAATGCAGCATTGTTTGTTGTGGTAGAAAGCTGGCGAGACTTTCAAACATTTGCATCATCAATAGGGGGTTGGTGGATTATGGAAACCTATCCCAGTTCCATTGTTAAGGGGATAAAGACTATGCAAAGCGATTGTTTATAGATTTGGGTATTTCCTATGTGCAGAGGAGAAAGCTTGGAGGACCATACATCGGACAGTTGGCACTGGTGACCTCTGCGGGGGCAACTGTAATTATGGAGAACTTTCACTTTCTAGGTTTAATTTGATTTAGAAAAACTAAGTGTGGTGTCATTTCTTGTGCCCTTGTCTTGTGGAGCAAATCAAGACCCATTTTACATATTTCATAATGTTTTACCTTTTCTTTTAAAGATATATGCATTATTTTTGTAATCAGAACAAATAAAAACATATAGAAAGAATGGTGAAATGGTCAACGATAATTCAAAGAAGGTCATGAAGTTACCTTACTGAGAAAAGAATAAGGTAAGAAGAGGTGTCTTCACGGAGTGGGTGGGAGCCAGATGGCAAGTGATTAAGAATGAAAAAGGAGCCCTAGCCGGTATGCCATCCTGCGCACCAAAAGGTCATCAGTTCGATTCCCAGTCAGGGCACGTGTCCGGGTTATGGGTTCAGTCCCTGGGTGGGGAGTGTGTAGGAGGCAGCCAATTGATTTGGCTCTCATCTCAATGTTTCTTTCTCTCTCTCTCTCTCTCTCTCTCTCTCTCTCTCTCTCTCCCCCCCCCCCCAAATAAAAAAAGAAAAAGAATGAAAAAGAAGAAGAAAAATTGAAGCAGTCAATGTAAGTCTCCTTTGGGAAGGTTGGCAAAAGGAGGAAGCAATGAGAGGTAAGAACAACTGGATACCACGTGATTCTGAATAAAGTTTATTAAATGATATGTACAGCAAATGTAGTAATTCAACACCTTTATTTACCAACCCACTGCAATAAAGAAAAATGAACGAACAGGAGAACCTGTGTCTGCACAGCACGTGCTCTCGGTGTGTGATGTCAATGGCAACACTTTAAATTAATTGGTTATGTATAATGTCAGTTATTTTTCTTTCAGAATATAACCTTTTTTTCTTTTTTGTAGTAACCTAGTCCAGCAATAGGACTTAATACTACTTCAGATAAATAGAACTGCCAAAAAAAAAAAAAAGAAACCAAACAGAAAACAAAAACAACCTCAAAACCAAAAAAACTGTAACTGAGATTATAGTTACTACCTTCTCTCCCAGAAATAATGACTATTTATTTAAAGTTTTAACTTTACAATGGCTGTATTTGTGCTAAAATCTGAGGGTGAGTTATTTGGAATTCCTTCATTTAAATAAAAATGCAAAAAACTTAATGACTTCCTTATTTTACCTCCCTTCAATTGAAATTTTTAAAATTATTTTTCTATACAAAGTAGGTACATGGGCTATACAAAGTTAAATATACATATTTACAGTCCCACCTAAGCATATGGATTTTTCTTTTACTGATCCCAGAGAGACTGCAAAAGAGAAGTGGTTCGGGGCTTGCCTTTACCCAGAAGCGTGGCTAATATATCAAAACTGTCTGCAAGGCATGCCGCCAGTTAGCTGCACTTGCTATTAATAAACCTGTATAAACATCTCAGCATAAAAATAGGTATTTTATAATACTAAATGTCTGAAGACAAAAGAGCATTGGAAACCTTTGTTCCTTGTCTTGTCATACATAGGAAGCTGAAGTTTGATGCAAATTTGAACACATGATTTTATTAAAGACGGGCAAATTGGTGAGGCATATCTGGGTTTCTGTTGATACACAAATGCGCGAGGCTGGCATCATATGCAAATGTGGCTTTACAAATTGGTTTTATTTTCTAGCTGTATTTAAAGAGGTGTTCACAATTACCTACAGAATCAAGAAGCACCCCTCAAAAAACTATTAGGTAAGATCATGATATTAATGGTTTGCATCTAAGAAAGATGAGGAAACACATTAGCCAATACAAGAGTTACATTTCCAAACTAGTGAAATGCTGCTGGGCAAATGCACGTGCACACACACTGGTACTCATTCCCTCAGAGTCAAATCACAGTGCCCTGGGCGGTGGAGGGGACCTTCCAAAGCTACAAGTCTTATTTAAGGAATTTCTGCCCAGGAGGCTCCTCCGCCCACTCCACCCCACCCCACCCCACCATTAGTTCTACAATCTTTCCCCTTGGGATTAAGGCTCTGCTCTGCCCTACTTAAAAACAAATGTCTCTGGGAAGAGGTAACACATTCCTGTATCAGTCATTTACACTTTAGTGTGAAGAAGTCAGCCAGCAAGATTGGAAAAGAGGACAGGGAGAGAAGTGAGGGCACTGTAGCTGTCTGATAGGGGATGGGCAGCCGGTGGGATCCTAAGATGAGTAGTGGAGACAGAGGTGGAGGCAGAGACACTGAAGACAAACTTTTTGCTTACTTATAAAGACTCAGACCTTCGGACAATGGTACTGGGCACTTCTGAGCTACAGGCAGAGAGCCAGGGCTCCTGTACACACTCTGGCACTCGGAATTGTTACTCCTACTTGTGGCCGGATGTGTATTTGTGGAGAGGGTGAGAGTCTGAAAAAGTACCCTCAGGCAAAGGTTCTTCCAGCATCCTAGTTGTTCAACAGTCAGCTAATAGAGACAGAAATACAATACTTTCTAGGATCCCTCCAGGGAAATTCATCTCTTCCTCTCTCACACCCTTCTTAGCACATTTCCTTAGCACATTTCACAGTCTCTCCTATGTGTGTGTGTGTGTGTGTGTGTGTGTGTCTCCAATCACCTCTGAGTCCCCGGCAGGCAGGGAATGGGCCATTCCTATCTTTCATTCTCCAAGGGGTCTAACAGAGAGGGCTGACAAACATCCTGGACTCGGACAGAGTTGTGACTGAACACCCAGGCATCGCAGGGGCCTCCCCGCTGAGCTCCGGCCTCCTGGGAGCAGCAGAATCACTTCCTCACACCTGGCCCTGCATCCACACCTCTGCTCTGAAGCGAAGCCTGGCCAGGGTGCACCAGGACCCACAGCCCCGGGGACTACATTCTGAGTGGCCCTTGAGCTCCTATTGGGATGCGGTAAGTCGGCTGGCTGGTGCCCAGCATCCAGTGTCTATCAGAGTGTGTTAAATGAATCACTGAACATCACCATCCTTTTCTCCCTGAGAACAGGCCTATCAATCCCAAACTGTCCTGGCCAAGAACAATCCAGAAGAGAAAGATTAGCAACGGTGTCTGATCAATGAAACTGTGCCCTGAAAGGGAACATCTGTGGAAGCCAGTGATCCGGGAAAGCACACGGCATATGACCTCAGGAGCTACAGGGCTTCCTGACCTAAGTCACTGGGACACCCACATTTCACTGTCTGCCTGGCCACCTGCTCCCACGGGCAAACCTCCCGTGCTTTTCTGTCTGACACCAGGGGGCAGTGGCAATGCCGCAGGCTGGGTGTGCGTGCTCGGGGCGCCGAAGGTTCGCCTCCATTTCCCCACTAACCTCAGCAGGTCCAGCGAGGGGCCTCCACCACCGTCTAGGGATGACCTCGCAGCCCAGACTGGTCTCCAGCGGTGCTGATGGTGCTGGGGGATCTGCGGGCTCGGGTGGCTGGGGTGGGGCGGGGGTCTGTGTGGAGCCTTTGGAGAATGGCTGGGGACCTGCCGGGGCTCTGAGGGCCGCTTCAGGCAGGTCAGGGAGGCAGCAGCAGGAGGCGTTTCTGTGGCCACAGGTCAGATTACCTCAGACGGGGAGCGGAGGGGAGGGCTGGAGAGGCTCCCAGAAGCAGCTAAATAAATACAGATTTGCCTCATTCCTTTCTGCTCAGCGCATGGTTCGGGCCTGTCTGATGCACGGTGAGCTGAGACAGGCCCGGGTTTTACACACAACACACTTCTCTGTCCCGCTCTTTTGCTTCGTTCTTTATCCACTGTATTACTTTTCCTACTGACTCCACTTTCAAATAAAGAGACCAGTTCATGGGTTATGCTTCATCCTCCGGCAAAAATCATCTCTGCGGTTTTCAGTCTTCTTACAGATACAAAGGCTTTACATAGTTGCCTGGAAAAGTGCCAAACTGCCTGGTCCTTCTTGAAGTACCTGTGAAAACACACACGGACAATGAGGAGACCCGCCCGCAGGAGTGCAGAGGGCCCTGGATCGCCACCGGGCAGCCCGCAGCGCAGTGTGCGGCCTCCACAGCACCTTCCCTTCCCTTCCCTTCCCTCACTCAGGCTCAGCGTTGAGCGAGGCAAGCGTTTTTAACACTCCTGCTTTTTGTTTAGATGAGCTTTTTTTTCAGAGAGCGCAGGAGCGCAGGTGACATTGCTGAGGCCCCACAGCTTAGCAAGCACCAGGGCACACTTGAACCCAAGCCTCTGATCCCCAGCCACTGCTCTTCCCAATGCTTCTCTGTTTTTGGAAGAATGGACACATCTCTCCAACACAACAAGACACTGGGGATTTACAGTTTCTAAACTGCAGGATTTGTGAAAGTCCAATGGATATGACCACACAAAAATTCCTCTCCTAGGCCTGCCTAAGCCCCACACGGACTCCCAGCCTTTGTGACCAACCTTAGGAGGGTTCCTGTTGAGCCAGGAACATTACATGGTTTGGGAACAAAGCCGGCTGCTCCAGATCACTATCCAGTTCCTGCCCTCGGGATTCCCTCTAGAGCGCCGGTGTGTGTGTGTGTGTGTGTGTGTGTGTGTGTGTGTGTGTGTGTGTGTGAAGCTGTGCCACCATTACCCTCTCATTAGCAGACAGCACAATCTGAGCACTGCTTCCTTTTCCCAGTTGGCCTGGATGCGGCTCAGAATCCTGTCAAATACAACCTTCAAGCAGCCACTACCAGTGCGCTGGAGCTGTTGCCCGAAGTGAAAAGTCTCAGATAAAAGAATGTGTCACAGCGACTACCTGACCCCCTGGGGGGAGGGTCAAGAAGGTGGGAAGGCCCAGAGATGCCGCAGAGAGCTGGTGAGCGCCTTGCCTTATGGACGAGGAGGAGCGTGGCTGGGTTACTTTATTCGAAGTCTGAATATTGGGTTACTTTTGGAAGTGTTTGAGGAATTGAGGAATCTGAAATATTTCCTTTACCAAGCTGCCGGGATGCTCCGTTAGAGAACTGGTGCCCCTCACCCCACCCCCGGTTCTGGTAAAAACCGTAACTACTCTGGGAGGGGAGAGGTTAGCAGCGCGTATGCACGGGAGCTGGGCTCTCCCGCGGTGGCCATAGGCATCTGCTGAGCACTGAGGCTCGGCCGCTCCAAACTGGCTGGCTGCCCCGGGAAACAGCACCGGACTGGGAAGGCTCAGCACAGAATGAAGAATGTAAAGTGGCTCACAGTTTTTTATACCGATTACATGTTCAAATGATAACATTTTGAATGCACTGGGTTTAATAAAATATATTAAAATTAATTTCACTGGCTTCATTTTACTTATTTCGTACATAGCTTGTATTATGTTTCTACTGGACTTCTTTGCATTAGAACAGCGATTTTCAACCTTTTTCATCTCATGGCACACATGCACTCATTACGAAAATTCTGTGGCACACCAAAAACATATTTTTTGCTAATTTGCCAAAAAAATTGGTATAATTTTGAATCATTCACACCGGGCGGCTATCGTTGTGCTGGCTGTTGTCATTTTTTAAATTTGACAATCTAAGGGCAAAGAGGTCAGTGCCCCTGACTAAGCAGTCAGGAATTGCATGTTTTAAAATTCCTGTGGCTCACTGGCTGAAAATCGCTGCACCAGTGTACTGCTGACTTCTCAGATCTGGTTTCCCTCTGAACACAGCACTCAAGGAAGCGAGCCTGCAGGCTTCTGGGGGCCCTGGGAGGATGCGCGGCTTTCTAAGAGGCTGGTGAGGCCACGGCAAGTCTTTCTGGCTTCCGGTTTATGCTGAGACCTTGCTGTTCTCACTACCCCAGCCCTGACATCACTTTGCTTTAGTAAAGCTTGTGCAGAGAGATCAGGAAAAAGTCTTAGGAGAGAAGATAAAGGCAAAGCCATTGTACAAGGGGAAAATTGAGGCAAAGAGTGAGCTGGTGACTCCCAACATCATACTCATACCTGAAGAAGGAACAGAGGCTTGGGGACAGGTGGGTCGGGGTTCAAACACTGGCCCGACTATTTGCTGCCTGGGTGGCCTTGGGCTAGGGCAGTGATGGCGAACCTTTTGAGCTCGGCGTGTCAGCATTTTGAAAAACCCTAACTTAACTCTGGTGCCATGTCACATATAGAAATTTTTTGATATTTGCAACCATAGTAAAACAAAGACTTATATTTTTGATATTTATTTTATATATTTAAATGCCATTTAACAAAGAAAAATCAACCAAAAAAGTGAGTTCGCGTGTCACCTCTGACACGCGTGTCATAGGTTCGCCATCACTGGGCTAGGTACTTAATCTCTTTGGGCCTCAGTTTTTGAATCTGTGATGAGGATTATTCTTGGCTTTTGGGCTGTTTGTTGAAAGACTATCAATAAGAAAGTATATCAAGCAAGTATCTGCTTTGTAATAGAATTTCACTTATTCCCCCATTTTATAAAGGTGAATCCTTTGTTTTAATTAAGCAGATTGCTTTGATTAAAATTATTAGAAGGCTGGAGTAGATAAGATCTTGAAATGTTTGCACATACGCTTGAGTTTCATGGTAGAGACCTAGGCTCGGTCAAAGTTTCTTGCGTAGTTTCATAAGAGTTTTAAAAAATAAAATTTCCGAATGTAGAACAGATACATGCACAATAGAAATACAAACAGAACTTAATTAATGAATTTGACAAGTGCCCTCCCTCCATTGGACGCTGGCAGATTTGAGCTTTAGGTCCAACACTAAGTACTGCCAGCCACACAGTCTCGAGAGCAAACATGAACTGTGCCCAGCACTCATGGTGGTTCAGGGACCAAGAAGGCTCTTCTTCCCTGCGGAGAATATGGCTTTTGCACGGTTCATCACTCCTAGTTGTTCCCTCAGAACATGGCTAGTAAGAGGAGTGGGACCAGGTCACTTACCAACAAACCATCCATCGTCACACTTTTCCATGACATCAACAATATCTCCATCTCGGAGTTCCAACTCATCATCGTTCTGTGGTATATAGCTATATAATGCTTGGTAGCTAAATCTATCAATGAGAAAAAGGAATATTAACTAAGTGACTGATACGATTAAATAAGGGCTTTTTAAAGCCATTTCAGTTAAATCAACATTTAGGTAGTGTTTCCTGCTTACCAGTGGAGAGAAAAAGTATTTTATTGGCGATTTCTCTAACGACTTATCATTGGGGGAGATCCATTCAACATCAATCTATATGTATAAAAGCCTAAGCGACCGTCTGACCGTTTGACTGTTCGACCGGCAGCTATGACGTGCACTGACCACCAGGGGTCAGAAGCTCAATACACAGGCATGGAAACATTGAACAGACTGATGAATCTCAGAGGGAAGGGTTGGGGGGAAGACAGGAAGAGATTAACCAAAGATCTTATATGCACACTAGAGGCCTGGTGCATGGATTTGTGCACTGGTGGGGTCCCTCAGCCTGGTCTGCGGGATGAGGCAGAAACTGGCAGTCTGACATCCCCCGAGGGTGCAGGCCAGGCCGAGGGACCCCACCAGTGCATGAATCTGAGCACCGGGCCTCTAGTCTGATAATAAATTAAGACTGGCAGGGATGGAGAACTTCTGAGCAAGTCATGACCAATCCTTTTACTTAGTTTCATTTGGTTACCATAACAGAGGATTTTTGTCTAGATGCCCCCCTCCCCTTTTACATTTAACTAAGGCTTTTTCTTAACATGGGATAATTTATATGGGTTATTGGGAATAGTCAGAGGTTACTGAAGTCCAGAGATAGACATTATATTCTGGCAATTTACATTGGATGGCCCAAGACAATTGTCATATATTATAGAATTGTCATATTTATATGAAATATATTCCAGTTGCCTCACCATTTAGCAAAACTACTTTGAGTTTCTTAATCCACCAACAGACATTTCATTCATTGTTTTAAAATATGGATGTCATTTTTCTGAAACTCTTGAAAGCTTTTTTTTCTATCCCAGTGAGCTGGGGGTTAAGATTTTTATTTAGGTGGCAGTTGGCCTAAGGCGATTTGGGGTGTGCTGCTCTGCTTGTTCTAACAGCCACCTCGGAGAAAGCTGGCATGCGGTGAAGTCTGGCATCTGCTTTGGCAACAAGGAAAAGCTCCGTTTTCACTTATTCCTTTGACAAATAATTAAGAAGCATGCACTGCACACCAGTTCACAGTTCTGTTCGCTCACTATTTTGAAACACAACAGTAGCAGGAAAAACTCTGCCATGAGCCAAACATCTACCATTTCCAGTAGATGCCTGTGATCTCCAGTGTGTGGGCAAGACAGACTAGACCCAGGTAAGCAAAGCCAGCGCCTAGAACAAGAGGCTCATTCTCCTCTGCTAAAACCAAAGGGGCAATTTCATTGTGTACATTTATCTGAATGTGTCCGTCTTTTGTAGGTGGATCTGCCTGCCAGAGGGTCTCTAACGAGGAATTAAGAGCGGCCACAGACTTCAGTTGGCAAATGAACACATTCTGTTGTTTCTGTATGTGCCTGCTCCCTCCCACCCAACCTGGCCTCCTTGGAACGCCTGCTCCCCTTCACCTCCACTGGCTCAGCTCTGGGAAGTAACTCCTGATTCTGCTTCCTGCTCTCACTCCCAGACTGCGGAGCGTGGCTGGAGGAAGTCCCGTAGCCTTGCTGCTTGGGTTGCCCGGGCAGCGCTGATGTTGGTGGGAGTCCCCCACCTCCTCTGCTTCCCTGTGTAGAGGGCCCTTCACGCTGCCCCGTTCAGGTTTAAGTCTCCGGACCCCCTCCCTCCTGCTCTGTTCCCACACGGGAGGAAGGGTCCCTCTGGTCATGTTCAACTCCCTTCCCTGGGCTATTTCCTTAGCTTCCGTGTTCTCTCCTACATCTGTTGACTCTGTCAACCCCTTCTCCTCTGGTACAAATGTACTTAAGTCTCTGCACCCTAAAAATACCCCCTCTCTGTCTGCTACTCCCTCCGTCTAGAGCCCTTTCATCCACCATGGCACCGACTACCAACCCTTTCTAAGGAGGCGTCTGCCTCCCCCTCTCTAACTGCTGTCTCCGAGGTCACCCATGATTTTCTCCAGTTGCCGAACAGAACACCTGGAGGACACGTCACATTTCCTCCCGCCTTGGCCACTCTGGAGCAGGAGGCACTGCTGACCGAACACGCTTGCTCCAATCTGCACAAGGGATCGCTCCTAACCCCCCTCCCGAGTCTCCTGTGGCTCCTCTGTTGCCTTAAAAGTTGTTCTCCCAGGATCTACCCTCGTTTCCCTTCTCGCTCTATCCGGAGTCTCCTTGGGTGACCTTGCATGTGCCCGTGGTCACAGTGCACCCACTCTGTCCTGGCTCAGGCCCTCATCACTCCTTGCCTGGATTAACATCTCCTGACCGGCATCTTTGTCCCTCGCCTCTGAAACCCACCTTCTACTCCGTTACCAGAGTTACCTCCCGAAAACAAAACAGAAGCAATATGCTCCTCACTTCAAACCCTCTGGTGGCTCCTGAGAGCCTTCAGAATGAAACCTAAGCTTATTTCAGCCGCATCATGGATTCTACAACGGGTCCCAACCTACTTCTTGAGCTTTGATTCTTGCCCATGTGGTTTCCTTAGCCGGGAAGACCCTGCTCTAACCCTCAAGTCCAGTTTGTCTTTCAGTGCTTATTCCAAATCCCCTCCCTCTGGGAATGGAGTTTACTCCTCTGTGCTTAAAAGAGGAGACAGAGCCAAGATATTGTTTTTAATGAATGGATCAACCCTATTCACTCAGCTCTCAGAATCAATTTCCTTCCTCTATTCCCACAACACTAGGCGGGAAGCCAGTCAGCACAGCTCTCATTTGTCCTTGGAGAGCAGTTCATTCTTTACCTGTCTCTCTCCCAGTAGGTCATGACCTTATTGACCTGCCACCTGTTCTCACACTGGCTGATGGGAAACACGGAATTCTCAGAGAAGCTGGGAGTGATTCACTCATTCCCCCGCCTGGCTGTCCCACAGCCAGTCAATGACCCACTTCCTAAGCCCAACAGTCTGCTAAAAGGAGAGAACTGAAGTTGGCCGTGTACTTACAAATCTTGTGAGGCTTGACTCCTGTCTGGGGTGACTCTTCGCTGCTGGGCTTGAGGTTGCTGAGAAATGATTAAAGATGATTTATTGTCAGAAGGGGGTACCTTGTGATGAAAGTCAAGGGGATGAGAGACAGTGCTGCAGTAATGAACAGACTTTTCGGCAATGTTTATGATCTCATTGCAAACTGCTTCCTGTGAGGTGGCCCCGAGATATCCAGAAACCCCCATAAAACAGTCAACATGGGGACAAAAAAAAAAAAAAAGAAAGAGAGGAAGAGATGGAACATTCCAGACGAAGCACATAAGTCCAGGAAAACAACAGAGTTGAAGATCCAGGTTAAAAAAATAGATATTCCAGTAGTGGAGTGCAGGAGGGATCCAGGCGTAAGCATGGAAAAACAGGTAAGATACAGAATTCGGAATTTAGTATGAATATTAAAAAAAAAGGTAGCAGCATAAAAGCCTGCAATTAGTGAGTAACTGTTACAAACAGAATAACTTCAGGACAGAAATGCAAGTATGTATCCCCAATCATGCACTAAGACATTGATTTAATCCCATATGGAGGCAGAGGAGAAATGGCATCTCTAATTCCTCTGCTTTTTTGAGGGGGAAGGGGCGGCCTAACTTCTCTCTACGACAGTAGCCACATAATCCTTGTAACTAGTGGCTGAGAGTTAACCAGGCAGTACTCCCGGCTGTACTCTGGAGGCCAGTAAGGACTCTTTTTAGAAAAGCTACAGTCTTAGTCAACAGGCGTCTTACCACATAGCTCTTTTCAGATTCTGTGAGATCAGGTCCTGCGCTCAATGAATGATGAGAAGGCTGTGATCACCAAGCAAATTATAAGGGAGACATTTTAGCAGATGTCACATTGGAAAGAATTCAAAATAAAAGCGTGAGCAAATACACGTACCACACCATCACACTCGATGACACCGGACACTCGTAGCCTAGGGCCACCGAGTCTCCACGACAACACGGTGGGTGCACAGGAGAAAATGCAATGTACAGAGTTAGAAGCAAGCATCCAGGCAATGAGATGGGAGGCTGAGACATGGCTGCAGGGAGGTGAGAAGGACAACACAGGGTCCCAGAGTGGCAGACAGACACGGAAGGGCTGTCTAAAGAACAGTTACGTCCCTCCGTTACCACACACTTGGTCCCCTTGCTCTCAGCTGCCCAGCATCTATGGATGGGCTGCTGGACCAAAGCCAGCTTCAGTAACCTGGCCAACTGCTGGCAAAGCAGGCTCACAAAACTACCAGGCACACCACATTTCAGTACTCACAAAAACCGAGTAACGCTTCTGAAAAGCTCCTTGGTAATGTTTAATATTGGAACAAGACTGTTCTGGAAAGATCTGCACATGACACACTCCAGCTAGGTGTTTGAGGAGTTGAGATGTCTCACAGAGCAGAGCTGAAACCATCACTCATCAGCTCAGGTACCACAGGGGCGGTCATGGCCGAGCACCCCTCTTTAAAGTGGGCTCCCACAGGAGAGGCCAGGCCCGCACCGCAGGGTGTATGAAATCAGTTCCCTCACAAAGGATTCCATCTCAAGCTCTGGGGAGTCTCCCTAAATAAATATTTGAAGAGCCATCCTTGGAGACTTCCTCCAGGCGGCCCACCATCATAGCCCTGAGCCTCAGCACCTCCAGGGACACCTGTGCGTAGCTCCCTCGTTCCAGAGAGGCCCCGAGAGGGTGAGGCCTCCTGAGGCCACACCGTGAGCTAGCGGTACACTTGGTTCCTGGTGTCGTCGACTGTTCCCGAGGACCTTCCCTGTCATCCCGGACCATGTCCCACATTCCCAAGTGTGCCCACTGACCGCATCTTCACAGAGTCCTGCAGAAACCCAGAGACAGGCAGGGTAGGGGTTACCCATCCCCTTTTCTTTAGAACCCAGAAAGCTGACTCTCAGCTAGGGACAGGGAAAGCTGCTGGGTTGCTCTTCCCAGGCCACCACCCCACCCCCTCCTGCTTGGTGCCACTGTCCATGACCCTGCCCTTCCAGGCAAGCCCTGCAGGACCCACATCCATTCCAGGCACCACTTCTACCCTCCTGTCCTTTTGGGAAACCCCTTCAAGTTCTCCAAACCCCCTCCAAACTGCAGTCACCTAGCCAGCCCCCTGGACTCGGCAGGAGAAGGCAGACGCAGGACTGGAAGAGGCCTGTTCAAGCTCCTCCTACGTCGTCTCAGGGCCTGCAGGCTCTGGCAGGTGACAGGCGCTGACCCTGCACAGCCCCCTCATCACCTACCAGCCTCTGGGTCCAGGCTTCTGTGTAAGAAAGGGAAGCAGTAGCTTACTCTGCGGCTTTCACACAGCGGAAGAATGAAACTTATCCTGGGCACCCCGAGTGGGGCATACCTCCAGGCAAGGGGAGCGAAGGGGAAACTTTCTCAAAGTAAGAGCTGTCTGTCCAGCAACAGCAGGGGCTGCCTGATGAGAGTGCGTGGCCTGCCCCAGCAGCTGTCCGAGCTGAGGCTGCGCCAACATCACTAGCTGGGACAGGGGGTGGTGCTTCCCAGGCTTTCATGGACGCTGGTCTCTCCTGGGATCCTGTTCAAAGGCAGGCTCCCGAGTGGCACCTCAGGGGTGTGTGCTAAGACGGCTGGTCCACAGGCTGCAGAGGCTCTCAACTATCTGACACTGAGATTCTCTGTGCCAGACCGACATGGGTCGCACTTCATAAAAATAAAGTTCTCATACAAATAAAAATTTCCAAACTCCAGCTGGGGCCTGATGACCTCAGGTCAAATGCAGACCAGAGAGAGTGCGGACAGTCTCTCAGAGTAGTCGGCACAGTTTATGGAAGTCCTTAGCATCTTTCAATCAACTTAATCCCAAAGCAGTGACTGGAATCGATCATCCACAAATAGTTGGCACATAAGAGATTTGGTGAATCAGATACAGAAAAAAGGACTGATATTCTACGAAACCCTTTCTTTTTAAAGCATTTTTAAAAAGCAGCTTTCAAAGCACATATAAGTCTGAGTCCTCATCTGACTCGTGTACTAACGCGGTGTCAAGGGGAGGGCAGAAAATGAAATATTAAGGCTCAGGGAAGTCTGAGAACTTGACAAGGTGGCTAAGCCCCTGAGAGCTGAGCCTCCGTGTCTGATCCCTGTACGCCAACCCCTCGAGTCATGACGGGCAGCTGGTAGCACCAGCGCACACCCAGCTCAGCCTCTTCAGAAGACCAGTGTGTACCTTCTCATTACCTGTTCATCATGTGAAAGGTACGATGTGCACGAATAGGCATCATCCTATCGTTAGCTCAAGGGTCCCCAGTACTGAAAGGGATACTGATGCCCCGCCTTCCTTGGTCTCAGGTCCTATCCAAACCAGAAGGCAATCATCATCACAACCTTCACATCCAAACACACTAACATCTGGACACACTTAACTCATCTCCCAGAGGTAGGGACGATTTGGTTCCTTATTTAACGTTTGTGGGAAAATGCAGGAAGAAGGCAAGATAAACATTTATCTTATTAGTGAGAGAGAAGGCAAGATAAACATTTACCCTATTAATTAAGATTCAATTTCTTCCCCCTTTAAAAAAAATATTTCTATTGATTTTTAGAGAGAGAGGAAGAGAGAGAGAGAAACATTGATCGCCTGCCTCCTGTACACACCACACTGGGGATCGAGCCCGCAACCCAGGCATGTGCCCTGACCAGGAATTGAACAAGTGGCCTCCTGGTGCATGGATCCAAAGTGAACCATGAGCCCACCAGCCGGGCTCAATTTCTCCCTCTTGGAAATGCTTTCCTTAGACTCTTCCTCCAAACCTATGCCATCCAATATGGTCACCAGTAGGCACATGTGACTTGGCCAGGATAAAATATACAATGGATTTCAAAAATAAAGTACAAAATAAAGAATGTAAAATATCTCAGTGATTCTTATGTTGTTTATATGTTAAAATGAATCTACTCTGATATATTGGGTTAAATAAAATAAATTATTAAAATTAATTTCACCTGCTCCATTTTACTAGCAGAAAATTTAAAATTACATTATGTTCCCACTCAACAGTGCTGCCCTGATCCCTGGTCCTCATAGTCTGCCCTTATTCAGGCCTAAAAGTAGACACACGTTCTCACCAGGACCTCATCCGGGGTTAAGAATAAAGAGGGTATTATCTTATGCTAAGTGCGTTTTGGACTCTTGGAGATGCAATTAAGTTTTTCACATGTTTAGAAAACAGCAATTGGCCCAACACACGTACACACACGGGTGCACACATACACACATGGACACACACACACACACACACACACACTGCATTCCCCTCCCCCCTCATCAACAACAAACAGGTGGTAGTCTTGGACTCAGAAACTGCTTTGCTTTCCTATTCTCAAACGTACACCCAAGCACCTCACTTGGCTGGAGCGCTGGCTTCATTCTTCCCGGTGAGCAACCCTGCAGCGTCCTTGCTCTGTGGCCCTGCTGCCCTTCCATCTCCAGTTCACAAAGTCCCTCAGAAATCTGACCCCAGCTCCCTGGGACTGTTCATCCCTCTGGATCCACAACACACCTGGTGCTACTGTGCAGATACTAAGCACCTTCTTCCAGCGTTCGGTGTGTGCCAAAGCCCGAAGCCCCAAATAACTGTCTGCAGGCTGAAGAACAGCAGGGAGTCCTGGAGGTGTGGACAGGATAGAGGAACTCAACCTCAACGTGCAGGACCCGCTTAGAGATACCTGCTCTCCTAGCCTGCCCGGGCCCTCGGAGATGGTATTCTTCTCCTCATCTCAGGCCCCATACCTTTCCGCCTCTTCACATCCCACCCACATTTTGCTGACCTACCCTGGCCTCCCAGGGGGACACTGGACTAGGGGTGAGAAATCTGGCTTCCAGGCCAGGCTCTGATACCAATTTGTTATTTGAACAAAATGCTTAATTTCTTTGGAGTTCCAGTTCTTAGTGAAATCAGAGGACTGGACAAGATTTACATCAATGTCCTTTGGCTGTAATGTTCCATGACTGGAGTGTAAGCACCCTGTGATTGAGACCTGGCACTGGGCAGGGCTGAACGGGCTGAAG